AACCCTAAACCCTAAACTCGAGAGGCACGGAAGGACCATGGTCGGGGTCCTTCACATGGCTCTCCTGAACGAGCTGCTTGGCGTAGTGGCTTTGCTGGGGGCAGCTAAACCCTAAACCCTAAACCCTAAACCCTAAGCCGGGGCTCCGAAGGCTCGAAGGTGGGTTTCGGACGTGAAGGTTGTGGGATCGAAACTGTTCTTGGCATCAGCCTGTCATCGTCGTGCCATGTCGCGCCCGTCATTGTCATTGTTATCGTCAGCATCCTAAGTTCTTCAACCCCAAGTTTTCCCAAAGCCAAAGCCCGACACCCCAAAACAGGGACCCAGGTTCCCTGCAGCCGACGATGCGAACTTGCGCGTCTTCTGGCGGGCCTTCAAGGAGCCGAACCTAAGCCCTAAGCCCCAGAACCAAACCCATAAACCCTAAGTGAGGAAGCCTTCAAGTATAAAAGGTTTTGATCCACACCAGTATGAATCCTCACTTCACTTGGTAAGCCAGTAGATTGGGCGCAATGCCGCCTGTTGCTGTGTGAAAAGTGGTTTCCCCTTCGTCATCTGCCAGAAAGGTGCGAGGGTTCAACAAGCGCACGAAACATACACTGCAACATCATCTACACGGATCGTGGCTTTGGGAGGACTGGGCGAAAGGGTCCAGAGGTGGCGTTTCGCAGCCCTGTCCGGGTTGAGCCTGCTTTCAAAGGACATGATGGAGGCCCAGAAGATTTACCTCTCCATCAGCTGCCGCATCACCGCTGAGCAGGCAGGGCTTTGGGATTCTGCAGGGTTCGGTGATGAGACGACGAAAACCGAAAACTGACAAAACTCTCAGTTCTGAGTCCTAAACAGCCTAGACCCGATATCCTCAGAGGATTGTGCTGGTCTTTGCGCTGCTACTTATTTCAAAAATGCGCAAAAGCTCCCGGACGCAAAGCGGGGCTGGCTCGAAATCGAAGGCTGAGTTCGCAACCGATGCAAAGCCCAAACCCCAGAATCGAAACCCGCTGCGCTGCCTCTCACTGCCGTGCAGGTGGCCTACCAAACCGGATGGCGCCTGCCCTATGTGCCGTTTGTTGGACTCGGGATTCGAGCCAGGTGCCATCACCTGGGTCGGTTGAACGATCATTATCACCACTATTGCTTTTCTCTGGCTTTAAGATATGTTGAGATGTCAGCTGTCTTAGCCACTGCTTCTTTTAGCATGCTTGCGCTTGCTTCGGTCTTGGCAGCGGTGCTTCTGGTCGCAGTCTCTTTTCCTTAGGTGTTTAGGGTTTAGGGTTTAGGGTTCAGGGTTCTGGGTTTAGGGTTAAGGGTTTAGGGTCTGTTGTTTGTCTTGCTTGCTTCAGGCCGCGAGCAAAGCAGGTCAAGCCCAATGCAAACTTTCGTTCATGAGTCTGACTACTGGTAGTGTGTTGGTAATGCAATAGTGGCACGAAGCAGAAGCTACGCATCATGAGTACTTGAGCAGCTTCTGATAGCAAAAGACGGCAGTCGCCATGTCAAAAAATGCCACTTGCTGTACATACTGCGAGCTTTAGGTGCCCTTCTTTTTGTTGCAGGTTCATCTCCCCGTGCTTTCCGAAACGACCATGTGCAAGCTTTAGGTGCCCTTCTTTTTGTTGCAGGTTCATCTCCCCGTGCTTTCCGAATTGACCATGTGCTGGCAAGCAGATTCAGTTGCGGTGGGTCCCGAAGGGCCTGAAGTCTTCATCCCGACACCTTACGTGTGAACCCCTAAACCCTAAACCCTAAACCCTAAACCCTAAACCCTAAACCCTAAACCCTAAACGTCATACACCCCCTTAACCTTGGACCTTGGGCCCTGAACCCGAAATGCTCCATCCCTGCTACGATTCAGCTTTCCCTTTAGACCCGACGCCCTAGACCCTGAGCGCCAAAACCCCAGAACCCTAGAGTTCCTAAAGCTCTTAAGCCTCAATTTTGCCTAAACCCTAAACCCTAAACCCTAAACCCGGGGTTTCAGCCTTCGAGAGCCCAAACGGCAGCCAGGTACCGTCCCGCCGAAGCCCGCAAAGCCCTGCTCTTCCGGAACAACCGGCAGAATATGCCGCGGGACCAGCTGGGGGGTTTAGGGTTTAGGGCTCCAAAAGTCTCGGGTTTCCTAAACCCTAAACCCTAAACCCTAAATCCTAAACCCTAAACCCTAAACCCTAAACCCCAAACCGGTGTTTAGGGGTTTAGGGTGCGGAGGGCTTAGGAAGTGTAGTGTCTGTGGCGTCGAGGGTTGAAGGCTTCAGGCTTTAGGGCTTAGGGGATCCTCGGGCTTCGGGTAACCAGGGACCCTAATATTGGTATTTAGGGTTTAGGGTTTAGGGTTTAGGGTTTTGGGTTTTGGGTTTAGGGTTTAGGGTTTAGGGTTGTAATCCTGATTCCGAGAACCTCTCAAAAGGGAGCCCAACTGTCGAAGCCTTGCGCGCTCTATGCCTTAAGTCGCCGAAGCCCTAAGTTCATGCACCTTGTAGCAGCCTTTGTTATGCTAACCCTTTCCGTGACCCGTATAGTGAGTCGTTTAGGAACCCTTGCCGTCGTGGGGGTCGCCAATCTACACAAAATGCGTTTTGAGCATGTTTTCACAGTAGAGTAGCCCGTATTGGGTTTAGGGTTTAGGGTTGGTACCTCTTACGGCCTATAGCAGCCCTTGTAGAAACCCTCACCGGCTGGGCTCTTTCCCCAGGCTGACTTTCCGGAAGGCACTGCGGATGTTCCTCGAGGAAGTCGCAACCGACAGCCCCGTGCAGGCCACGCAGCTCAGGGGTTTCAAAGGTTCACCGTTCTGTAGTTTAGGGGTTTAGGGTTTAGGGTTTAGGGTTTAGGGTTTAGGGTCTGTAGGATTCTAGGATTCCAACAGAGTTCTATAAAGTTTTTAGTTTTACAAGGTTAAAAGGTCTTCAGGTGTTTCTCGGATTTTTCCATCAGGGTTTGGCGCATTCATTATGATTTTCAGGGTTTCACAGGACCGCAAGGCTGTTACGACGTCCTGGTCCTCGTCCCGAAATCCTAAACCCTAAACCCTACCTAGACCCTAGACCCTAAACCCAAAACCCCAAACCCAAAACCCTAAACCCTAAACCCTTATTTAGTTTTTAGCTTTCATGGTCCTCATACCAAGGTCCGCAAGCCCACGCCAAAAACCAGAGCCCTAAAGCTTCAAGCTTAGTCTCCAAACCTGCGAACTCGAAGCCCAACACACCTCAAGCCCCAAACTCACCCCTTTTAAAGACCGTATAAGATAACATATAAAGTCCTAAAGAATCTTTTTATAAAGCCCTTATAGAGTCCTGATACGGCCTTCCTTACAAGCCTCTAAACTCTCACAGCTCCCGCTTCCAAGTCGATTCTGCGTTTCTCCAGCGCCCAGGTGGTGGACATGAACAGCGGCCCGCGCGTTTACACCTTTCAAGAGCCACTTGGGCCAGTCCGGAGGAGGTGAAATTCGATATTGGGTGTAGGGGAAGGTTGGTGAGAACACCCCCAATTTCCCGAATCTGCCGAGCCCTCCCTTAGCACCCTGAAGCATCAGAACAGAGAGCCAACAACGGTGTCCCAAGAGTTTTGCTTTGATGAGGCCCTAATCCTAAACTGCCCTAAACCCAAAACTCAGGGTCCACAGCTCTTTTCAAAGGAGCGCGGTCTTAACCCTAAACCCTAAATGCTAAACCCTTAACCCAAAACCCTAAACCCTAAAAAGGATTGCGGCCTTCCACGCGGTCATCTTTCTGCCCCATGGCCCCAGTGCCCTGCGTCTCACGGACGTCTATGCGGCAAACATCCCGTCGCTGGTGCCCGAGGTGGGGTCCGGGTTTTGAGAGTTGGAAAAGGGTTTAGGGCTTAGGGTTTAGGGTTTAGGTTAAGGGTTTTGGGGTGTTTTGGGGTTTTTCAACGGGGGTCGGGGAGTATATGTACTATAGAAGGCTGAGCCAGCTCGAGACAAGGCCTCTTGCCGCCAGCACAGCTGCCTTGCTTCTAGGTCCTAGATTTCCACACACAGCACTTGCGAAACCTGTTTCCGCGCTTGTGTCAGAATTCTGCACTTTCGGAAGCGCCGATTTTGGACCACTCCGACCTACTCCGAGCCACTCCGAGTGCGGGGCGGCAACCCACTCCGAGCTTCTCTGAGTCTGGCTCGCCGTCTGCTTGACATCCCAGAATCGGCTTGCCATCACAGAATTTGCACTGCAGTTGGCTTGCCCGGCATGCGTGGCTTTGCAGCGTTTCGATACCTGGAGAAGTTTCGGGTAATGTGTGTAGTAGTTATGTATCAGTGAGCTATTCGTGGAATAAATCTAGACTAGTAGCAGTACAATACTAGCGTGTTGGCAGTATTGTAGTCGACTTTTGCGACCTGCCGCCCAATCTTCTTTCATTGTGGAAATTGTGTCGCCTTCTGTCTTCTGACGCAGCGTGGCTCAAAACACGAGCTGAGCTTCTCAGCCGGACCTCCCAACCCGCAGGACAGGGTCAATCAGAGCTTCCTGCCTTGGGGTTGAGGCCCAGGGTTCGGAGGTTGGGGCGGATACGTAGGGTTTCAGATTTGGGTTCTGCTTGCATGTGGCATCGGGGCTTGCGGCTTACATTTCGGGTCTCGATCTTTCTGGTGCAGGCGAATCAAATGCACCAGCTACTGTACCGTGCTGCACAGTTCAATTCCTAAAAGCCCAAGGCTCTTCGTGTAGGAACGCGCAATTGATGCTCAGACCCTCTTCTATATATATATATATATGTATATCTCCCCCTGAAAAGCTTTATTCGGTTCTCATCCTGCATTTTGTGTGAGAACAGGGCGGCCGCTGCTGGATCACTTTGCAGGTGAAGTTGGGAAGGATAAGATGCACGCCATACTCGTAGCAGACGTTGCTACAACACTTCAAGCTGCCGTGAGGACATCATGCCTCACGTGCCGTTTCTGCGCAACGCGCTGGTGGTCGCAGTGATCACGCGTCTATCGGCAACTGCAGACGAGGCGCGTACCTTCTCTCGTTGTGCGATTGCACATCTGCAGGATTTCATAGGAACGGCTCCGATGTCCGCAACAGATTGTTTGGGCCCTGTGCAGTGGTGGAGGTGCTTGCCGTTGCCGGAGTCGCTGCGTCTTTCCACCCTCGGCCGCAAGAGTTCCAGAAGGCCTTTCCTGACCCGGAGAAGTTTCACAAGAAGGGCGGGTCACGGCGGCTGGAGACGGACAAGGTCCAGCATCTCGAAGCAGACGATGGCGGCCTGCACTTCGATCTGGACTTCGCAGGTGCCGAGGCAGAGGTCCGTGTGATTGACTTGGACGAGACACCGCAGCTTGATGGGCTAGCATGTACGAGCAGCTACGATATGTATCTGCACTGGGATCGCACAGGCTCTGTTGCAATTCACAAGGGCGATGTCCTGACGGGTGGCATGGAGTGGCAATGTCGGTTCGACCTCTACCTTCAAGGTCAAGGCCTCGAGGAGAGTGAGTCTTTCTTGGTGGAGGTGCTTAATGTGGACGCGAAGCCCAATGCTGGGAGGGTCACCAAGCTCCATGTGAGAGAGACCTCGGTGTTCCTTGGTGCACTTTGGATCCCCTTTTCTTTTCTCGGGATCCTGAAAGCCTGAGCCCTGAGCTCTCTGTAGCAGACTGTGCCCAGGTTCCATGTTTTTCCACAGCTGGCTCTCAACTTCACCTGGTTCCCATCGCCAGGCGAAGAGTTGCGGCCGGCTGCATGCTGTAGCATGTTGCAGCTTCTAGGTAGCTTCCAGTGATTCCCAGAGAGCCGAATACCCCTTAATTAAGGAATATAGCTTAAACCATAATATTAAGGCCCCTATAATTGAAGCTATATTCCTTAATTAAGGGGTATTGGGCTCTCTGGATTCCTGGTAGGATACGAGAACGTCTGCTCTGCGGTTCTATCCGCTTCATGCCAGGTCAGGGAGGCCGATCTCTGAGCGACTCCCCGACTCTGTCACTGAATCTTGATTGCTTTAGGGCTTAGAGTTTAGGGTTTAGGGTTCAGGGTTTAGGGCTATTAGGGTTTAGGGTTTAGGGTTTAGGGCTTCAGGGTTTCAGGGTGCGTTCCTGGGGCCGGTTTTTGGAGTTTTCGGCTTGTTCTCTTGCGCCCCTTTGAGTGCACAACATGGACGATTTTTTCGCATTTCAGGCCTCAGGATTTTTTGGGAAATTTGATCTTTGCCGATGTTTTCGCATCTGAGGTTGCTAAAGTGCTGCCAGGCTCGAATTTCCCCAAAATTCCTGAATCCTGAGAAGCGAAAACATTGGCAGGGATCTTCCTAAAAACCCGGCATCTATGGGAAATGCGGGGCTATAGTTGTTCAGGTTTTGGGAATTCTGGGGAAATTTGATCTCTGCCGATGT